CGCAGAGTGCTAATTTTGTGACGATACTGTTAAGAGGCTTGATAGCAATTATCCCACGGTTGAAGATATTTTTAGGAACAAAATCGAAAAAGCAAACCTAATTGCGGTACTTTCTTGGTTGTTGATGCTGGAGTCGTCGTAGGATAGAGATTTTGGAAATTCGGTTGGAAGACGTAAGGTTCGCCGCCAGGTTTTGGAACCTCACCAAATCCATTAGATGGGTACACTCCACCATTCGAAATTGCTTTTCCGGCTCCAATTTTGCTCCATTGTGCATTGTTACCGTAGTTGTTGTTCGGGTACGAGTTTTGCTCGCCAGCTGATCCGCTGTTCGAGTTGCTCGGCTTGTTATTGTTCTGATTTCCAAAGTTCATATTTGGGCTTGTTTCCTTATTGAAAATTGGGCTGAAGTTGAATGTGAATGGTGGAGGGTTCGTGTGTCCAGGGTTGGGAAGGAAAGCAGTCGGGGTTGCGGCCTAAAAACGCCGTAAATAAATTCATTAATTTGATAGATTGAACTAATGTCGAAGCCTAACCGGTTTATCGAAGTTTCCGAAAGGTCCAAAAGAATTATAGCTTGTCTGTGGCTTGAGGCATGACAACGTTTCCAGTTGGGGTACGGTACCGTAAGGGCAAAGGCACCTCAAACGTTCCAAGTCGCATACTGTACCGCCTATGCAAGTTTCGCCATGAGCACAGCTATTGTTTAGGATAGCTGAAATAAGGTAAAAATAATAAATTTCACGCAATATAAGATATTCATCGATTTTTACTACTAATCCGCGATTTGTCACAGGAAAAAACCGTGCGCGTGTCGCGCGGATAATTGCTTGCATTTGCGAGCCGAGACACTTCTCCTTTTTCGCTGTACACTAAAAGCTTCCGATATTTAGTCGAGAGCATTGCCGCGCATTTACTCTGAATTTATGAAGGATTTTCCCCTTTCAAATAAGAACGCATTTGTGTAAAAGATCCAGAAACGGATTAACAACGTGTCGCAAGGTTTAGAAAGAAATCCTCAAGGCACGAAGTGATATATAAAAATTCACGGAAACTTAAAGTGCGCAGCTAGAAAATTGTCCCAAGCTTTTTCGAAACTTT